CTGGCCATCGAACAGAGACGGTCACCGCACAGCGCACTTTCAAGTGTGCTTCTGTGGCCGTCTGGAATGCTCTTCCTTCCGATATTGGGAAGCCACTGAAGCTGTGCGCTTGTAAATCTACATTGAAAACGCATTGCTTTTCGTGTTTAGTTTGTTGTCCTTCCGCCACACCTTTGATGAGCACACTTGGCTACGTACCGTGCGAAAAAAGTTCAACATACATACATGCAGCGGACTAAATGTGTCTGTGGACTGCATGCATCACTTTCCCGCTGTCTTCCATCGCAGCCATTGTAGCTCCGCTGTCTACAACACGTGGTGTGGCACCGGTGGTCACTCACCCAACGAATAGTAAGCAAGGCTCGACCCTCATTAGCTTTGAGATGCAATGAGATCGGGCACATTCAGGGTTGCTGTATTTGGCCAAAAAGGCAATTATGCGTGTGGGAAGCAGCTGTACATTGAATTTCACACCGCACTACGATCTCGATGAACCGTGTTTGATTCCTAGCCAAACACAACACGAGTGGCAAGCAGTATTTGAACCTGTCAAGAACCCCAGCTCCCCTCAGTCAACTCAGCATAAAATGCGGGGGCCTGGTACAGTGTGTGCACTTCCAGCAATAGGGGGAATACTGCCGTGGTCGGGAATGTTATGGTCACACTGCCTCTCTGTGTGTGCTGTGCTGGCCTTAATAGGTGCTCGCTAAACATTCCTACGTATTCTAGATTTGAAGCTTTCGTGACTGCAAGGATTCATACTCTTAGGTTTTTTCGGTAAAGTCACGTGGGTAAATTTTTTTTAAATAATAAAATGAGATAATAATAAATGTGATTTAATTGAGTTATTTTCATTAATTATTATTTTCTTTATACATTTTTTTTCCTACGTGACTTTACCAAAAAAACCTAAGAGTATTGCTACGTATTGCCTCTGTGAACTCCCCCCCTCCCCCCCATTAGCACGGTTAGCTAGGTACGGTGCGAAATAAGTTCAACAAAGATACATTTACCTTTCCAAACGTAAGTATGTTATCTAAAGCGAGTCTCCTCCTATCCTCAAACCCATGACCTGTGACTCCTATTATCCATGGCTCTAAATATTCCACATAATGTCCTATTAGACTTAGATAAAAAAAAAAAAAGTCACAGTTTATATTTGCAAATAACACAAATTTGTGATCCAGAAGTCGTGAAAAATGTATCCTATTATCCACAGCAAACGGCGCGTTAAATTAATGTATCCATGTTGAACTTCTTTCGCACCGTACGTAGCCAACCATGCTAATCGGAGGTGCGGGGGAATGCCAACAAACTGAACACAAAAGGCAGTTGTCAAGAAATGAGTTGAGGAGCGGACAAGAGGATCTCACAATAGTGGCCTCATATCCGTGTTTCTAATTCGCACGCAACATTTTAATTCTTAAAGCTCTCTCTCTCTCTACGTGCCACAGCCTTTCTCAAATACGCTGGCGGTCATGGCTTTCCATTCAGCTCTGCCCATGATATTAGTCAGTCTATCCGATTATTCAAATTTCTTAGATGTCCTTAATTTACATTCTTCCCCAGTTTCGTGTACCTCTGCAAGCACGATGCTGTTTACAATTTGGGCGTTGCCATTTGGCCAATGAGGGTGCTGGATGGCATCACGGCACCTCCGATTAGCGTGGTTAGCCACGTTTACGGCGCGAAAGAAGTTGACCCAAAGTGTGATACGCTAGGGCTCACGAGGCACATGCAACTATCTCGAAGCCAAGTGCATTGTGGGGACACAGCATCACCACGTCACCTGCACGAGCCTTGCGGTGGTGGCGCACGCCTGCGATCCAGCATTGTGGAGGGTGAGGGTTGGTGGAACGTTGGGTTGCTCGGTCAATGACCAGGATCAACGGCGGCGTGGTGTATTCCGCAAATATGGCCGACTGTGAGGGTGGGCACAAGCCGGCGTGAGTAGGTTAAACGTTGAGTTTTATAAGGGCACCACGGGGTGACCAGCCCCTCCCCACCCAGACCCCCTAGCCCCCCTTTGTCCAGTCACGTGTCCTGTTGGGTTGACATGACCTCCGTGACACCCGCCTACAGCACCCATAGCGAGCCAACACAGTAGTGACGTCATATGTCCCTACGCTCGTACAGTCCCAACACAGTAGTGACGTCGAATTTCACTACACTAGTAACGAATTGCCATGTTCTGTTTACATGACAAACCTTACTAATTGGCTGTGTCGGGTGGTGGCGGGTTCAACGACACATTTATATTTACGCGATCTAACCCAAAAACCTATAGTATGGATGATATTGGTCGCGAAAGCCGACTATGTGTTAAACTGGATCTCATCTCTTTGGGATAGATTGGTGCCCCCTTGCAAGCATGCGTGGGTTTTCTCCGCGTGCTCCAGTTTCCCTTCCACGTGAATACATGTTGACATATCGAGGACCACAGCTTGAGCAATTGTTGGCACTGTTTTCCTCGCACCTCTGAGTCGCCCTCAGTCTTCAAGAGTGAGATAATACGGTGCACGTTGCAAGTTGAATTCAACGCAAACGCGCCCTGACTCGATCATTGCGTGCCACGTCCGCGGCACGGGTCGGATTCTGCAGTGGAAAAACAACCTGACGCCTGGTGAGCCGCAACCCGGCTGGCTCGCCACGGCCACGGCATGGCTCGGTTATGCAGTGGAAAAGAGGTGTATGTGTCTCGCACGTGGGGGCGCTGTGGCTCATGGGATGGGACACAAGGTGGGTTAAATTAACATTAAAGAAACACTCACAGGCTCGAACTCTGTTTGAGGGATGCTGTTTGCAATGCAAGTAATATAAGTTTATTATAAGTGGTACCGTGTGCAAAGCATATAAACATACTCGCATTGCTGTTGTTTTTACTACCACTGAACTGGGTTGTAAATACGTTTTTTTTAATATAAATATGAGATAATAGCAATGTTTTGAGATCCATTAAAGAATGTTAAAGAAAACATGTTTTAAACAACTTATTTTTAGCATCTCAAAATTGGAGAATGACCCATTTGTTTTCGGGTTATGGTGAAGAGTTATCCAAACGGGCCGTTATACATGTACGGCTGTAAGCACCCCCCCCCCCCCCCGTCCCATCTGTGGTACGGCACATGGTTTAAAAAATATACATATGGGTGATCCATTTACAGATGCTCCATTAAAAATAAGTGAGAAATTATAAAGAAAACAACGGTTTATTTCAATTTCTAAATGCCTCGCATCGGCAATCTTAGCATGTGTAGTCGATCATTTTCCACTGCCCTCTGCAAGATTCGGAACTGTCCCCTTTCACAATATTCAATCGGCTGTTGTGAAGAAAGTAAGGGGCCGTCCATAAATGACGTCACGCGATTTTGGACGATTCCCCCCCCCCCCCTTCGTCACACGACGTCACAAAAAGTCAGACCCCCCCTCAAATATGACGTCACAAAGCTCTGCCCCCCCCCCCCCCCCCAAATGCGTATTTAACGTGGCGCTGCACTCTGATGTTGTAGGAGAAAACATTTATTAAAAAGTCAAGATAATTAAGTCGAACGTGTTGTCTATATTTATTTAAAGTTGCGAATTTTGATGTGACGTCACATTTCTCAACCCCCCCCCCCCTCCATCATCACACATCGCCACAAATGTCTGACCCCCCCCCCTTCCTAGGTGCGTGACGTCATTTATGGACGGCCCCTAAGAGGGGAATTTAGCCCAGCACTGTGGAGACGACGGTTGGCGAATCGCACAAACGCTGCGAAACTCCCTACCCATGAGCGTCGAGGCTGCTATACCCTGGCAAGTCAGGAGACGGCGGTACAGCAGATGTTGACTCCATCTGCGTGAGATAAAGCGTTGCCCCCACTCGCTCACGCATGGGGTTTATCTGGGTTCTTCGATTTCCTCCCATGTGTAAACACTCATTTTTATATATAGAGAGGACAGCAGAGCTTGGGCGATGATTTGGTAGCGTCGGGCAGAGGTCGCAAACGGGTTTTGATTTCTTACCCGTACCCGTACCCAGCCACACCAAGGTCGCAAATGGGTACCCGTACCCGTACCCGGCTGGGTACGGGTACCCATTCCCTACCCGTACCCTACCCGAAATGAGTGACAAACGGTTACTCACCAGTGACTCACGGCCTACCCGTACCCGGCCGCACCAGGGTTGCAAACGGGTACCCGTACCTGACCGGGTACGGGTAGCCGGGTATCGGGTAGGGTACGGGTATCGGGTACCCGGTTGCGACCTCTGGCGTCGGCTTACTTGCCTGGCTACTGCCTTGCCCCGCTCGTCTGTGGTTCAGAATCAGAAGAATTTGTATTTAGGCTGGAAGAATTCGATGAGATATGAAACTCATTTTCGAAGATGTCCATGCCTCTGGTTCTTCATCTCTCGCTCTGCAAGCGTGATGGAACACTGAGCGTCATATTACATGGTGAAATTATTAGAAATCAGTGGAAAAGTTATAAATGGATCACCCTGTATATTACACATACTAGTATCCGTGCGTGTTTGTGCTGGGCCCCACGGTTGGATTTATTCCAACACTCGGGAGTGTTTCTGCTCTGTGAGTTATTCGATGCCAGCTACACTGAATCAAATCTTCTGGATTAAGTAAACAAAAACTTTTATGGAGTGAAAATGTAAAACTAAAACTTCGGGGAAAATCCCTATGCATCTTCAAAACACCTTTTAAAGTGACAATCGGTCACCAAAATCATCCAGCCCTGTTGAAACTCACTTAACAGATTTGTACAAAAATCCTCAAAGTCAAAAAGCCCATCCAAAAATCTCAAGTTCCCCGAATGAAGTTTCTAGATTCACTGGCTAGCCTCTGATCTGGCAACAACTGGCGAGACCACGCGATTTAAAAAAAAAACGCCACACGCTCTCTCCCTCCGAAAGCTCAACTCTGCCACCACCCCATCCACGCACGACTGCAGCATAAAACCCAGCCCCTGCGAGCCTTCTGCTCTGAGTGAAGCGCCACCCTCTCGCAGTCTCCACCCAGCCACGACATCCCAAACAAACCCAGCCGCCTCCTCTCTCTCTCTGCTGCTGCTGAGGCTGCTCAGCACCCCGGTCAAAAGGAGAAATATTCCATTGCCTGGGACCGCCGCTACTCAGCTGCTCAGCAAGGCGGCCGCACACAATGAGTCGCACTATGGCTCAAACCCATGCCTCGAAGACTTAAGCTGCCGGTCAGGGCAAAACAGCGACTTGTATTTATTACTTTCATTATTATCATATCTTAAAAGTGTGGAGTTATTTTAGGGTTTTTTTTTTCTTCTGGAAGTTTTGGATATCTCTCGAGCTTTAGGCTTAACATTAATAAGTTATCCCAACTGAGACGTTAACTTTTATGGAAGTACAAATCAATAGCCTATACACTAGTCACTCTGGCATCTGTACCCTTCACGGATATCGCCGTACATATACTGTAGCACATTATAGACCTCACAATTTGTGAAACTTTACGGCTGATCCACTAAGTTATTTCAAACACTTTTTCTGGCATGACATAGCACCGCAGCCAGCCAGTGGCAATTACCTCGACTGTGATAAAGCCTGACGTATAATTGCAGCAATAGATTTAGCAGGGTTAGCGAGTTGCCTTCCAGCCCAGTTGTGTAAGGGGCCCACTGCATTTTCTGCTGCCTCTATTTCACACAACAAACACTCCACGGAATATAAATAGAACAGCAGCATCAACCGACACGCGAATATAACAAACCGGAGCACCGTTTTCGAGGAGACCATGCATTGTCGCAGCCTCCTCTGCATTGTCCTCATGGATTACGTGCTGCGTTGCCTGTGCCTCTCCTACTGCTCCTCGATGGACATGGACCTGCTCAAGCGCAAGAGGATCGAGGCCATCCGTGGCCAGATCCTGAGCAAGCTCAAGATGACGAGTCCTCCCGACCTGCCGGGCTCGGAGGAGCCGGCCAGCCCCGAGGTGCTGGCACTCTTCAACAGCACCCGAGACCTGCTGGTGGAGCAGGCGAACGCGCGGGCAGCCACGTGCGAGCGAGAACGCAGCGAGGAGGAGTACTACGCCAAGGAGGTCCACATGATAAGTTTGCGACCCGACAGTGAGTAACATCCCACCGGGGTTCCCATTCATTCGTCTCGGCGTCGCAGCAGGGTGGCGACGCGTGCGTGAGAGATGATGATGATGATGGGCTCTCGCGGGCTCTTCTCGGGTGCGTGATAGACGCCAACGTCAAAGAGTGGCAGTGTCTCTGTCCCTGATCGCACGAGCACTGAGCCAACACCGTCGTGGAAATTTTCCCATGGCAGCAGGGGCGAGCCTCTCCATGCCATGGTCGCTCTTGGCTTTCTACAATTTGTGGCGTTTCGGTTTTTTTGTATCAACACCGGAGGAACTTTTTGCTGAGTTGACTCCCGGCTGAGGTTTTAATTTGTAACGTTCTGACTGTGAGTCATGACGTTCATTCGGTAGAGTCCGTGCTAACTGTGGCATAACGCCCTCATCTAGATCAGCCTAGATCAGTAGCAGCACTGTGGTTTTTGCTCTGTGCTTACAGAAGTTTACACGTTCAAATCGTTGGCGGGGGTTGACGTAGTCCATCATTCTTAAAGAAGCGGATACAATTATTAATCATTTGTACAGCTTGGGTTCTCACGATAAAAAAAATCTTGAATTTAGACCATCTACCAAGCCTGCTGTTAATGGAAATGGGGACCAACCCACCCTCATTAGGAGCTGGGAAAGACTTTGATCTTAAACCAACAAAGATGATTATTTAACCTTCAATGCCTTTGGCGTTTAAGGATTCCCTGAGTTTCGCTGTGTTTCTGTGTGTCGGTGTGTGGGGAGCACTTGCCCCAACAGCCAGCTGAAGGCTGTATGGGGGATCTTTGTATTTGTTTGGGGAGCGATGGTGTAGCGGTAAGTGTACTGTAATCCCAGTGATCTGGGTTGAGTTCCTGGCTATGCGCAGCATCAGCAGTATGTAGTCATTGTATACGGACCTATCTTTGGACTCCTGTGGGTTAACTCAGCCTTAAATGACCACTTGTGCTGGGTGTGAAAATCAACACTCGGGAGACAGAGACGGCTATGTTTGTGTGATGACTCCCCCTTTCACCTCTCATGCACCATATTCATCTTTAATTGACGCATAGAGTGCTCACAGAACCTCCTCCTGATACAAATGACTGCAGTGACGTTAACATGGACTGTAACGCCATAATATGCCCGCTGGAATAAACACAATAACTGAGTAATGTGTACGTAGGCGACGTGGGAAAATAGCCACAGGCATCATTCGTCTCGTGCATGTTAGATTGTGATAGGTGGTGATGTAGCAGGCAGCAGATGGCAGTACAGCAACATCTGTTGTACAGTACTTCTGTGTGCTCCTCAAATCTATGTTCCACGCCTTCAAACCCCCCCCACCCCCCTCACTGACCAGTGTGGTGAAGTATGGTCAAGTAAGCAGAGTCTGCACTGTTTTGGGGGGCAGTCCATCATCCAGCAGTGGAGTTACATATACGCTGTACGTTTGATGCACATGCCCCGGTAGGCAAAGTGAGTTTTCAGACTCTTTAAAATCAACTAGATAAGCCGCACAACTTTGCTAATCTCCCGCAGGAATGTCTGCCCACAATGTGGACTCGAACTGGTGTTAACCGTAGTTAACGGCAGCCAAATGGTAAGGAGAGAAAAAACACACTGACCACTAATCCACTGCAGTACTTAGCCCTGCCCTAGTATTACAAGGGGATGAATATCCCTCACTCCTTGCATCACTTCATATTCATCTCTCCTAAAGCCATAATAGTGTTTTTTACGACGGGGTGTGTAATTTCCCACCCACTCTGTAGACCAGGATCAGGGGACAGCATATACTGTACAGTGGTTTAAAGTCAGAAAATGGGACAACTACAGCAGCAGCCTTTGCCTGTTGAAACTTGACATTTCATTCGTTTAAACCCAGGGCCGACTTGACCGGCGATCATTTGACACGTAACAAAAATATCGTTAAAATGGTTCGTTGGTTTGAAAAGTAAAAAAAAAAACACATCTGGTGCAGGGCTAAAAACAATATTTGTTTAAAGCAACTTCAATTATCGCAGCACACATATGACTGCGTAATTTGAATTGTGGTCAATATAGCGCAGTGTTTCTCTGCACGTGTAAAAAAAACATGCACAGTGATATTTCTATATTTTAATATGTTTAATATACATTTTATATATACTGTATAAGTGTATATTACAGCCTAGTATTGCATTCCATTGGAATGCTGCCTTGGTGCAATGGTTTAGCACACTGGACTTGCAATCCAGGATAGTTGTACGTTCGATCTTCCGATACGGGGCATTTCTTAAGCTCCCCCGTGCCTGTCCATCCAGCGATATAAATGGCTACACCACAGTTAGTCGATTGACAGATTGCGTGTGGTGGATTAAAGCGTAAATACTCCCATCCTTTCCAAGATATATTGCCAGTATGGAGGGGTAGGTCAATAGTACGTGCTAGAGGGCTCTGTAGATCGCCATCTAGTGGACGCCCTTCGACAAGCAGTGGCGTGAACACGAAATTGCAGGGCTGCATCTCTACATATTGTCTGTGTGTCTGTGTATCCATTCTTACACGCGCCCTCTTGTGGCGACAAGAGTTACACAGGTAGCATTTAAATGCCGTGGTATCGATTCCACACCACGGTTTAGAAACCATGGTATCCTGGTTACACTATTGCATTAGCATGTGAGTCGCTGTGTTCGCTTGAGTCACGCAATGGATAAATGTAATACTACGCTTTTGTTAAAATGTAATTACCAGAGTAAACGGCGTTTTGAAGTGAAACAAAATATGTCTAATGTGCAAAAAAAACATTTATCTCACATTCTGAAATGAGTAATTGGAATGGAATTCCACATTTCATGGCAAGGCCAAGTACGTTCATAGTACGACCACTGGCAACTTTGCACAACGTGGTTGGTGCTCACTTTATAGACACCGATCAGTGATGGTGTAGTCAAATCCCACTGGAATGTATTCATTACGAAGCAGAGAAGTATATTTCCAGAGATTGGGCCTCTCATTTTCGGGGGGGTGGGGGGGGTGTGTGATTAGGTAAGGAAGAGTTCTGCCAAGATAGGCAAAGTAGGGCAATGAGGCATAGTGATGAGGTAATGTGTTAGACCGATACTCTAACTGGTTTACTTCATAGTACATATTGCCTGTAAAACGTTGTAATTAAGTATCAGCCAACATTAATTTGCTCTTGCAAATAATATATATGACTTGCTTTTGAAATGTGATACAGGAACTACAGTATTAGAGAGAGGCTTTGGGAATTGGTTCTATCCAGCCCATGCAAGCTTAACCCGACTGGCAGATGTACTAACAATTAGGTTAGCCACGTAGTGATTTTATCGCAGTTAAAGTGTATGCATGTGGACATATGCCATATATTGCAGGCATCATATATGTGTTCATATATATGTACCCTGCATAAGACTTCAAAGTGGAAAGTTGATTCAATTATCGTCTTCAAATTGTTTTTTTCCAACATGATTTATTACTGAAACATTGCAGACATTCATATCTGTGACATCTATTTGGGTCCCTTTGATGTACTCAGGAAGACATTCGTGCGCGGCTTGCAAAGGCGCGGCCTGCAATTTGCTGACAAAACCACCAAAGTTAGCATTTCAACCGCTAGTAAAGAGAGTCACCGGAAAGCATTCTCTCGACAGAGAAGGAACATTCCATCATGCACGCAACAAAAAGATAAAGTTCCCCTTCTATATTCTGTTAAGGCCAGCGCCGTTGACAAATGCCTATTAACGCTGGCATGGCGCATGCCGGAGGGGGTGGGGAGCGGTGTGGGTAAGGGCACTTACCCTGCCTGGCCACATTTGTCTCCCTCCATTTGCCGATGATGCTTGCCCCGAAACTAGTTGGTGATTTTAAGCAGTCAAGCTATGAAGTGGTACGGGCCAACGATCAGATTAAATTACCCACCAGTGTTGAGCACAGCCAAGAATCAAACGGTGGTTCCTGGGATTGTAATGCGGTGTTCTAACCGCTAAGAAAATTATCTCCGCATGTGATTTCTTTTCTTTCGTATTTTTTCCCCGAGCATCTCAATTACAACTGGGATACACAGGGCCATCTACATGCAGCCAGTTCTCACTATGCTGTACAAAACAGTGGAGCATGTGGGTCACGGAGTAAAAATAGGAGGTTTTAAAATATATATTTAAATTTAAAATAGGCAGTCGTAAGCAACACTAAATTGAAGGACTTGAGCCTAGATTTTAGAATGAAGTAGGAACTCGTGTAGTTTTTTTTGTAATGATAACTTATTTAAAAATGAGTCTAATGACTGGACACGAATGAATTTTCGCTAATGTTAGCCGTGAGAGCGGCTGACAAGCACTATACCACCAACGTGACCGTCTTGATGATGCATTTGCAATCCAGAGGTTGCCGCTTGAACCGATTTCCCGACGGACAAGTTTATTAAATGGGCACGTTTGTAAAATTCACCTCCCCTACCCAGCTCACCCACCGCCACCTCTGTCCGCCCAGCAGGAATAGAAAGGTAGTGTGGTGGGGTAAAGTGTGGGCACCTCCGCCTCTTGCAAGACACCTAGTCAGCGTGAAGGAGTAGGCCAAAAGACCTTCTCCTGGAGGGGCTCTAGAGACCTCCGCTTAGCGGAGGCCTATATTCTTAGGTTTTTTTCGGTAAAGTCACGTAGGTAAAAAAATTAAAATTAATAAAAGTAAAATAAAAATAAAATAATGATCACGACGTTTCGGAGGCAACACAAGCCTCCGTCTTCAGGTGGAACCGTCACAGCACGATAGCTGTATCTACGTGACTTTACCGTAAAAAACCTAAGAATATGAATCCTTGCAGTCACGAAAGCTTCACATCGAGTGGAGGCCTCTCCGCCAGCAGTGGAGTGAGTGAGAAATTGCACCACTGCACCTTTACCGTGTATCTATTGCTCCGTGCTCTAAGCCCAGCCTGCTGATTACGTAACTTTCTTTTTATTTGCGTGTTTATTTTTTTTATATAATAAAGATTTCGATTAAAGCTTTGCGTGA